TAATAGATAAATGATTGTTTCGAGGTAATATATTGGATATACAATCAAAGGTGTAGAAAGAATACAATGAAAATAGAGTTTTTGAGACTTAGATATTTCTAGAATATACAAGGGTAAGAGATTCTTAGTTCTACTTGTGCTTTGTTTTTGGCATAGTAACTTCTCTTTTTAATGTCAATATAATCAGTTATTTTCTTCAAGTCTTTAGCTCCTTAAATAGATAAGGAAAATAGTTGTTGGAGAATAGGACGGGGTTGTAGAAAACTAGTTTGAAAACCATTTGCTACAAAAGGAATTAGCAGTTACATCCCAGCATGCTCTATGAAAAAATAGAGCTTTAGGTCTTCACATGACAAAGTAGGTTCAGAGGTGAACATTGACCTATCAAATTCTCCTTGGTTCTTTCATTTTTATTGGCTCGTGTTCTAATCTTCAGAAGCATACTTCTTCAAAGTCTGGTCACCAAAGGCTGACTCCTTCAAAATCTAATCTTCAGACGTTGATCTCTTCAGAAGTTGACTTCTTTAGAGCCTGGTCTTCAGCTTCTGATCCATCATATGTGGGTCTTTAATCTTCTCTTAAGATGTTCATAGTCAGAACCAATACTTGGATTCTATATGAACATTTAGTTTATGGTCTTGTACACTTGAACAAATATTAGTATAATCAGTTGTTATTTAAATACTTTGTTATCATCAAAACCTAAGGGATATGGGACCAAAAAAATTTGTCCCAACACGCAATGCGTATGTTGCATTGGGTCGTGGTGAAGATCTTGTACAGAAAATCTAGGAATTGGGAAATAGCCCATGATTTGGATCTTTTGCTAATGTGGCTTGTCTTTTTTATTTGCATAATGTTTGACAGGATGATGAAGATTTTTTTGAAGTTCCAAAAGTATTTGACTCCAATTCTATCAAGTTAATGAAGTAATACAAGGATAAGGATGACTTTTACTACTTGGATATTCATGGTAAGGTGTATGATGACAATTTAGTTACAAACAAGGATGTCCCATATGGTTATGTCACTGAGAAGGTCACTACACCAACAGGTATGTCTGCTTCACCTCCTCTAACTACAGATGTTTTGCCTCTAACTATGAAGGCATATTTAGATGTGTGTGGATTGGATTTTGACTACGGCTCAGATCATATATGAGCACCTGATAGCTCACTTTGATGTTAAGGCTGCTGAAGCAAGATCAAGGGAAGATCAGGTGGCTTCCTTAGTTAGAAGCCTCAAGGAAGTCGTTGCCGCTTTAAAGGATTTGGGCTTTGATTTTGATATTGACTTTGATTGTGCTTATGATCCCTTTCTATCAAACCTACCTTCGCTTTCATTCATATCATAACATCATTTGCATTATTTTGGTTATAGTTTATTTATGTTTCACTTGATATCATCTTATGCTATTTTGAATGTCATGCATGTTTGAGCATTTTGGATAATTATATGTATGGTGTGGTTTTTCTATTTATGATTATGTTGATGTTGTTTATTTGTTTTAAATTGTATGTTATATCCTTATATCTTGTATGCTTTCTGAAATTGTGTTGCTTGTGTGTATGTATGCTTGTGTGTCATTTTCTAGGTTAAAATTAATTTTCTATTGTATGGTATGTCATATTGTCTTATATGTTGTTTTAGGTTCATCTATGTGCATTGTATCTATTTTTCCTTTCTATTTTTGAGAGTTGTTAAACGGAGAGAATGTTGTGACATTATCGTCATATTTACGTGCATTAAGTGTTTAATCTATGAGGGCTTAAGAGCTCAATAATCAATCTAGTTTCACATATTGTAACATTTGTTGTGTGTTGTTCAAATAAACCTGAAATTAAATTTAATCGGAATACAAATAACTCATCTCCTCAAGTTAAATATCAATATTACTCAAAATTTTCAAACATCAAAACGGGGGAGACTGAAGTTGCATTGTAGTCAGTATCGTTTATTTTGATGTTATGTCCATATATTATATGTGTGTGTAATTTGATTTATTGCATATGTATAATTCATTTTTGATTTGATTGTAATTGTATCACTTCATTTGTTTACACGTGTATTTTGAGTCACCTCTACATTTAATCTATTGAAGTTAGACACATGAAGCTCTTATTCCTTCTGTTAGCAGTCCCGTACCGGAGTCAAAATGGATGTGATTCTCTAAAATGGGTCATCTTATAGAAAGTGCATATAAAGATGTGTGCATCGATTTGACAAGATATGGTTTCTCAGAGACATTTATTCCACTTCGGAGTGGCCCACCTCAAGATCCATCTGAACGCATCATGTGTATTTGGTGGCTTTCAAAATCGTTACATTTTATTGAAGTTTATTTGAAATCGGGGTGTCCTATACCAAGTACATCATTGGAGTGAACGACACATTCCATAAAATAGGCGGAAACTTGGCCAGATCAATTTCTGAAAAGGATGGAAGAGTTCACCAAATTGAGCGAGATTAAAACAGAATCAAATAAGGAAAAGTCAAATGAGAAATCAGTAGTATATTTATGCGGTGTCGCATCTTTTGATACATTTAAGATTGTAATTGATATACTTTTTGAATGTATTATCGTCAACTTTGTAATCTTGATACGATTTAATACATAAGTAATATATATTCAGCAATGATGGCGAAAATGTTGACTGTTTCAGTTTACAAAATTTTATTGTTTACATTTTAATATTTTTGTTTACACAGTTTGTGGTGTGATTCTGGTTAAGGGTGATTTCGGATATGCATATTCGGATAAATTCCACACTAAATTATAAAAAATAAAAATAAAAATACAACATAACAGTTTACAGATGTGCATATTTGTAAACACTAGTTTTTGTTAAAAAAAGAATTTATTCAGAGATGAATCTCCGAAAAGATCTCTTATTACCGGATAAGTTCTCTTAGGTCCAAAGTGACCAAAAATTTGTATAAATAGGATGTCTCTCATCCTATATTTTCTACAAAACACACAACAATCAAAGAATGATTATTTATCCTCATCTTGCATTTGTGTATTTTAATGTTGCAGAAACCCCCACTTCTATTTCAGACCTACGAGAACATACTTCTCATTGATTTAAAAACCAAATTGAATATTCTCCTTCAATATCCAGAAAATCAAAAAGTTGTCAAGCTCGAGTATCGTTCACCCTTGTTTAACAGTGAATGGAAGACAGCATTCACCAGCTTTTGAACTGAAGAAGTATGAAGATTTAAAGATCAAGTGGAATACATTTTACCATTACGTATCAAAGGGTCCTATTAAAGTAGATGCGAAAATTGCAAAATCCACCGACGATATTATCAATATATTGCAACATCCTAAACTACTCGTTTAAAATAATATGTGATTTTAAATTTATGTTATCAACTATCTATATAATGTTACGTGTTTTAATTTAATGTCAATTTTTTTTTCTAGATCTTACTCATACTGTCTATGTTTCTGATTTGAAATATCATAATCATTTTTGAATATGTATCTCCAAATTAACCCCAATACACTTTCAGACGATACAACTTCAAACTAAAATTAAGTATACCAAAAATGACTTGCCCATTCGCGTTCAATTTTGTAAAAACATAGTACATCTAAAAATTCATCTCCGAAAAGACATTTTAAGATTTTCACCAAAAATTTATGAAAAGGAATGGAAAAAAATTACTTAATATTAACCTACCATGTTTTATCAAATAGGAGGGGGTTGCATACAATAAAGCATGGCTACCTTGAAGAACAGGGGAAACCCGAATTAAAAAGGTGTTTTACTTGAGAATAATACTACTTTTATCTGAGCATTTGAATTCCATTTTTTTAGGTGATTTTTACCTGATTAAGTTTATTCTTTCAAAATAAAAAATCTTTCTCTTGAGTGAAAACAGTGTTTTAAAAACCAGATCGAACCGGCCGATCGGATAGGTCAAACCAGAAATCGAAAAGGTCATCGATCTAGTCTGATTGCTGAATCGAATATGTTATTGAATCAGTGGAAATCGACCAGAACCGCTAAAAATCGATGAACTGACAATTTAAATGCACGTCTTTTTTTCTTCGTAATAACGCGTCATTTTAATAATAATTTTTTTTAATATAAAAATTAAAATATAAGTATATTTTATTCTAAACTTATTTGAAACAATTTTTCTTCATTTGTAATCAAATATTATTCAAAATTTATTTGGATTTGTAATTTGTACTATTTTGTTGTGTGTGATAGCTACGTAATGAGTACGTAGTGAGTTTGAATTTAAAGAATGAATTTATAATATTTTAAAATTTTGTAAGCATACCGATATTTTTAAGAAACCGAGTCATCCAGTTCGACCGATTTACTAAATATATAACTTTTTATAAAAATCAATTTATTCCGTCGAATTATCCGGTTTAGTCATGCAGTTCGACTAATGACCCAGTGGTTCAACCAATGAACCAACGACCCTGACCGGTCCAATTTTTAAACCATTGAGTGAAAGTATCCAAATCCCTCACAAAGCAGTAAAAGAATGAAAACACATCAAATTAGTGTAAGGGAGATAACATCAACGTTAGTAAAATTTAAAAGCAACATACAAAAACTCAAGTGTGCTCAGCTAGTGTGGTTATTTTAGTGTTAGTGCAAAATGGATTCAACTGAATCCAATAAATCAAACAGAACGAATATCTAAATCACTTCTAACACGCAATCATGTAGTATACAGCACTTCCACGGGGACAAAAGTCTTAAATTTATAATGAAAATTAATAAAATTCAAGTGCTCTTAGTTATCATAAAGGACATGTAATTGTCCATTATCACAGTAAAAATGTAATTCTACTATATAGAGCTTAACCACCAATGTTCGATTTTTATGTTTTTTGTTTTTGTTTTTGTTTTCATTCCAGATTTTGACAGATTAGAGGAAGTTCATGAAATAAAAAAGTAATTGATAGACAACAATAAAACCAAACTGATAAATGGATATTATATGTAAGGAAGGGTAGATTCTCCTGGTCACGTGGCCAAGGCTGTTGTTTTGCAAATTGGGCACATATTCTTCTGCATTAGCCACTGCTTGATGCAGTTAGTGTGGAACTCATGCCCACAATCTAGCGAACCAATTTTCTGTCCATCGGTGTATTCCTCCTGTAATCATATGGAAGAACAGGAAAAATTAAGGATCAGCATCAGAATAAATTAGACACATCATTGTATCATACCAGCTGGATCAGCCACTACTCATACCTGACAGATACAGCAAGGTTCAAGATCAGAAGAAGACTCTGTCATCAGGGACGTGAAAAATCGCTGTTTCATCAGCTTATGAATTATATCTTCGTTCAGTCCAGTGCTTACATCTCCTATACGCTCCCCCAGTGCCAACAATTCCTGCAATACAAGTTGAAGTCAGAACTAAGCGAGAGCCACGTAGCTGATGGATGGGAGTACCACATATCCTTTTACCTCGTATGACATGTTATCAACATCAAGGCGCATTTCTCTGTGTCTGTCGTGCATTTCAGCCATGCCATGATATAGGAAAGGGTCAAAAAGCATATAATCCTGACATTGCAAATGTGGATTGAAGGCAAAAATTGTGAAGTTAGCATTCTCAATAATCTACATGCTTCTGCGTGCTTCAAAGCAGATATTTCATATGCAACTTAACTATAGGCATAAACAAAGATATCAATTTGAAAAGAATTGTAAGCAAACATAAGGTAAAATTGAATCTAAAAACATATAATGTAAAGAAACAGAAGATATAACCAGCATTATTATTGACTACATTTTCCCTTCAACTCACATACAACTCATGGAAACTAATGTTGTGATTGCTGCATATTATTAGCCAGTTCTACCATAACTATTTCTGAAGTATGCCATCCGAAGATGCGTATCTTATCTCCCTCAGATAAGAGACATAGGGCTGTTGAAAAATCATCAAGTGTAATAATTGAATAAATCAATGGCAATAATACCCGTATTAAAGGAACTGGTATCAACCAGTCCATATAGTCCTTACTGTGCACTAGCTGCCCAGTATCTTAGCCCATAAACTACCCCTAGCTAACTCCTAAAATCTAAGAAAGTGACCCCTAGATTTAAAGAGCTTTGTGACTAACTAAACTGAGATTTATGGTTCTATAATAGATCTGAATCACTTTGTAATCATTTGAAGAAATACAAAAACTGAAATTGAGAAAACTATATTGAGAATTCTCTCATCACAATCATGACTGAATAGGAGTCTAACATGGTAACAGTAGAACCACCCTTCGATCCTTAGGCATCTGGTCCTCCCACACCAGCGTGGCAGATTGCGCCTTCTTCCCCCAACGCGCAAACATGCATTTTCTGCCATCTCTGAAAAGCTTGATTCAGAAAATTACCTCATGTGGTGTCAACAGGTAGAACATGTAATCAAAGCTCACAAACTTCTTCATTTCTTGTTTAATCCTAAAATTCCAGTCAAGTATGCTTCAATTGGTGATGCAAATCATGATCGCATTTCTCCCTAGTTTGAGCTTATGGGGACAACAGGATCAATTGCTCCTCGCATGGCTGCAATCAACTATATCTAGTGATATGCTTCGTCTCGTCATTGGATGCAAAAATTCGTGGATGCTTTGCGACAAAATTCGCGCCTACTTCTAACAACACATAGCCGCAAGCTCTGCCAGCTTCAATTTGAACTCAGACACATGAAGCTCGAAAACCGCAAAAACTCAATTTCTGAATCCCTCCTTCGTGTTCAAACGTTGGTTGGACCTATCAATGACATTTGGTGAATCGATTTCTCTACACAGACACCTTGATGTAATCCTCGAAGGATTTTGAATCTACAGTCAGCTTCATTGCAGGCAAATTGGGTACTCTTTCCATCGAAGAAATTGAAACTCTTCTTCACTGTCGTGAGTTGTGACTTGCTTATGGAAATACAAATCTAACAGTGTTGTCTACTGCTTGAACGACACACCTCAAACAGTGGATCCTCAAGTTCACTTCACTGCGTCTCTGTTGGGACTTACTCAGTCAGTCTTCAAGCCTTTGGATCTCATGGAGGTCGTGATGGTTGTGGTCACCGTGGTAGAGGAGGTGCAATTCAATGTCAAGTACGCAGAAAATTTGGACATGAGGCATCTATCTGCTATCATTGCTTCAAAAGAGATTTCGTCCTTACCAACTCTCAAGAAAAGTCAAAAGCATATGGTACTCCTTCGTGGTCATCTCATTGCACAGATTACACTCGAATTCCTACTCCACTTTGAATTCCAACTCCAAATGCTCACTCTCAGCCCTTACCATGGCCTTACTCAGCATGGAGTATCTTTGGCCTTCAATATCATGTGCCCTATCCTTCCATGTCGCTTCCAGCTAAGGTTGGAAATGAGTTGAGTCGAGTCGAACTCACCTCAGCTCGGCTCGACTCGTTAAGAATTGGTTCGAGCTCGACACGAACTTTTTTTTAAGCTCAAACTCGACTCGTTATAAGTTCACGAACAGTTCAGTTCAACTCGTTAGGTTCATCTCATTAGGTTCAACTCACATGATTCACGGACTTAAAAACTATTTTTTTAAATATATATATTTTTTAATATATTTGACATTTTAAACAAATATATATTTTTAAAATAAAATATTAAAATAAAATAAAAGTTATCATATTGAAATTTAACTTTATCTTCGAAATCTACTAATACAAAACCTACACAACTTTCAAGAAATACATTTGAGTCTAATTCAAAAACTACTAAATTGAAGATTAAATTTGTCTAAGATTTGGAGTAAATATTTAAACCTAATCTTAAAGACAGTATAACTCTTCTCATATGTAATCGAGTTGACTCATGAACCTAACGAGTCGAACTATGTACAGTTCAAATTCAGCTCATTTAGTTAACAAACTTAATTTTTCGCTCATACTCAACTCATTTGGTTCATGAACCTAGTTCAACGATTTAATTGTCGAATCGAATTCCGAACTATTTTCGAATTGGCTTGGTTCATTGCCAGCCCTACTTCCAGCTATGCCTCAATTGATGATAACTCACAACACTGCACAAAACTCTGCACCTCATCCATCTTACATCAATCCTGCACAGAACTTAGTACAACAGTTCGCATTTTCTCCTTTAACTTTATGTCAAGTTCAGTCCATGCCTTCCTCACAGGTTTACACAAACCATATGACTTTCACACAAGCTCCTCAAGCATTGTATCTCAACTCAGATTTGACTCCTGCTACCAATTGGTATCCAGATTCTGATGCTTCCCGTCATGTGACTCCTAATGGTGGCAACATTCAGCAACACTCACTTTGAAGGCCCTGGTCAAATTTATATTGGCAATGGACAAGGTTTGTCTGTTTCATCTATTCGCACTTCTAATTTCACCTCATCATTACACACACATACTCTACACTCAGTTTACATAATTTACTCCATGTACCTACCATCACAAGATATTCATTAAGTGTGAATAAATTTGCTCAAGACAACAAGGTCTTCTCTGAGTTTCATCCTGACACATGCCTTGTCAAATCACAGGCCACTAAAGAAGTCTTACTTCGGGGGAGTTTGGGCAGCGATGACCTCTACATGTTTCCAAGCCTGATGCTTCAACCACAAGCTTTTTCATGCCTCACCTAGGCTAATCTTCCTGCTGCTAATTTTGTTTCAAATAATAGTGCTCAATCTGGCACAATAGACTTGGCCATCCTTGTAGTGAAATTCAAAGACTTGTGCTAAATAGTTGTAACATTTCTTTTACTAAAAAAGGCACATTGGATTTTGCTCTTCATGTTGCTTAGGGAAATCTCACAGGCTCCCTTCTCACTCTTCTACCATAAATTACAGTTCACCTCTTGCACTAGTCTTTAGTGACTTATGGGGCCCTGCTCCTTTCACTTCCACAAATGGGTTTCACTACTACATTATCTTTGTGGATGCACACACAAGATTCACATGGTTTTATCTTCTTCTCAAGAAGAAATCTGAAGCTATCACCATCTTTGAGCAATTCAAACTTATGGTGGAACTTCAATTTCCCTTCAAAATCAAAGAAATCAAAACTGATTGGAGTGGAAAAATCTGTCCCTTCACTCAACTTCCAAACAAGTTTGGCATTTATTATAGGATAATTTGCCCACACACACATCACCAAAAAGGTGTGATGGAAAGGAAACAGACACATAGTTGAAATGGGTCTCACACTCCTTTCTTAAGCATCCTTACCCTTCAAATATTTGGATGCTGCTGTCAGCACTAGTGTATATCTCATCAATAGACTTCCAACCTCTTCTTTTAAGTTTTGAAGTTCCTTACACTAAACTTTTTGGCACTACACCTGACTACAAGTTTCTCAAGTGTTTTGGCTGCTTTTGTTTCCCCCTACTCGGACCTTACAACAAGCATAAACTACAGTTTAGGTCTCAAGAGTGTCTCTTCTTAGGCTACTCTACATCCCACAAAGGTTATAAGTGTCTTGCCCCTAGTGGTAGACTATATATCTCCAAGGATGTTGTTTTCAATGAACTATCTTTCTCTTATCTTAAGTTATTCTCCCCACCGTCCTCTCTCCCCACACAAAGCAACACACACATGCCTGCCACCATACATATTGTCCCATACTCAACTACTACCAGTTCTTAACCCACTATTTTCATTCCTACACCATTGACCTCTACTACAACTCCAGAACATCAACCTCCAGAAATCCAGCCTTCACCCACTGAATCCTCCCAAACTATTAACACTGCTGAAATCTCACCATTTAATGGTTTCTCCAACTCATCCTCCCAAAACTCACCTATTCCTAAGGCACAACCAACCAACACTCATTTCATGACTACTACATCCCACACTTTTAATAGCACATGCTAAACCAAGAAATACCAAGCAGGCCCTCTCAGAGATCCAACATGGCTGGCCTCAACGACTCTGCAAAATATGATGCCCTAATGAACAATGGAACTTGGTCTCTTGTTCCTTGTAATTTGGTCTCTTGTTCCTTTGCCTCCTAGGAAACTTCCTATTGGGTGCAAATTGGTGTTAAGGGTCAAAGAAAATCCATAAACTGTTGAAATATGAGAGAATGAGAGAAATTTGGATGAAACCGTGTGTTTGAATAGCACTATAGAAGTTGTATTATATAGTGAAATATACAGCTCATTGTATTAGTTACATAAGGAATATGTTACAGTATGTTCTATTCTACTCTAGATAAGGTTTAGGAATAATTTATGGAATATTCTATATATACAAATATCAACACTCCCCTCAAGCTTGAGCATATAAGTCAAATGCACCAAGCTTGCCACATATATAATTTGTTCTAGGACCTCATTGGGATTTTCTAAACACATCAGCCAATTGATCATTAGAGTTGACAAAGCTTGTGACAATGTCGCCTGATTCGATCTCCTCATGAAAAACTGGATTCGAAACAATATGCAATGCAGCTTGGTTATCACAAATATGTTTCATTGGTCTTGCTTCTAAAATTGAAATTCTTTGAGCAAATGCTTCAACCAAACGAGCTCACATGTTCCCAGTGTCATAGCCTTATATTCTGTCTCGGCGTTAGATCTCGCAACTACATTTTATTTCTTACTTTTACATAATATCAGGTTTCCTCCAAGAACACTATCTAGGGGTGGATTGTCTACCAATGGGTGAGCTTGCCCAATCAACATCGGAATATCCAACTATCTGAGTATTTGTCATAAATGAAACCTTTTTCTAGAGCACCTTTGATGTATCTCAAAATTCGGATAACAGCGTTCATGTGTACTTGGCAAGGAGAATTTAAAAACGGGCTTACCATACTAACTGCAAAAGAAATGTTCGGGCGAGTATCAGCTTGACTATTTCCTAGGCATAGAAGTCAAGAGCAAGGATAATGGATCTATGTCCCTCTCCCAATGCAAATACATAAGAGATTTGCTCACCAAAACCAACATGCTCAAGTCCAAACCATTATCATCTCCTATGGTGGCTGACTTGAAACTCTCAAAAACTGGCTTTGATACCTTATTTGACGCAACCATGTATAGGTCTTTGGTTGGAGCCTTGCAGTATGCTACCATCCCTAGACCTCACATTTGCTTTGCTGTTAACAAAGTGTGTCAATTCAGGGCAGCACCTCCTGAGTCTCATTGCAAGTTGTCAAACGAATTCTCATGTATCTTAAGGGAACCATCAATTGGGGTCTTCATCTAGCACCTATCACACACTATCCTATCTCTCTTCAAGCTTTTTGTGATGCCGATTGGGGGTCTGACCCTGATGATAGGCACTCCACTTCTAGGGTCTGTGTCTTTCTAGGTCACACATTCATTTATTGGTGGGGCAAGAAGCAACCAGTTATATCTCGTTCCATTACTGAAGCTGAATATCGCAGCCTAGTCATGCCACTTCAGAACTCCTTTGGATCCAATCACTTCTCCAAGAGTTGGGAATCTCCTATCCACCTCCAACCATTTACTATGATAACATGGAGCCCCATTGCCCTAGCTCATAATCCTATTCTCCATGCTCGAATTAAGCACATGGAATTAGATCTCTTCTATGTCAGAGAGAAGGTGTTGGCAAAGCAACTTCAGGTTCTGCATATTCCTGGATATCAGCGGTGTGCTGATATTCTCACCAAGGCCTTGCCACCTTACAAATTTGAGGAGTACAGGAATTCATGTGTCTCCCCCACAGTTCAGCTTGCAGGGGGTATTACCGGAACTGGAATAAACCAGTCCATATAGTTCTTACTGTGCACTAGCTGCCTAGTATCTTTAGCCCATATAACTACCCCTAGCTAACTCCTAAAATCTAGAAAAGTGACCCCTAGATTTAAGGAGCTTTGTAACTAACTAAATTGAGATCTATGGTTCTATAAATAGATCTCAATCACTTTGTAATCATTTGAAGAAATACAAAAACAGAAATTAAGAAAACTATACTGAGAATTCTCTCATCACAATCATGACTGAATAGAAACTCTAACGCCGCGAATTACTAATTTCACAAAACAACATATGCATGCCATAATTAGCCAAATATATAATCATGCACTAAAGTTCAAACCTCAGCTCGTAAGCTCTCACCCCTCCGCATTGCAATCAAGACTTGGCGAATCTGGCACATAGAACAACTGCATAGTTAGTTCAGGTAGGCACCAAATTTAGATGAATTGTTTTTCAAATTTTATTTGATCAAAATGCTTATTAATTGGCTGCTAAAAATAAGCTATGCTGCTTGTAAGGAAACTGAAAAATTATAAAAATAAGGCAGCAAACAGAAATTAAAAGAATATCCAGACCATAAGCAATAGTATGAATCAGTGAAGTTGTACTATTTATTCCCCAATAAATATTTCCAGTTGTTTGAAACGTAAATCCAAACTATTTGAGCATATTTAGTAAAATAAAATCACCATACCAGCATGGAATAGCCTTTAAGTAAAAGTCAGCGCAGCATATCTTGTAAAAAGTTAGAAAGTAGAAATAATACCTCAGATATGAGCCGGCGTCTCCCCTCATTGTCGGCGGGTAATGTTCGCAGTGAATGAGGAGCAGGGAGTACATCCCCCCTTCTTTCCATCAAATATGATGCCCTTGGATATGGTTGACTGCTGCTAGAACCCTGAGAAAAAGAAAGAGGGCTGGAAGTAGAGGGGGAATGGCCATTGTGAGCACCAGATGCTGAGCTGATTGATGGGAAAAGGGACCAAGGATTGAACTCTGAAACTCTCTGTAGATTTTCTGTTGGGACTTCATGGTTAAAAGTCCAGCTGGGATTAGGTAATGAGTGGACATTTGAACTAGATCCAATCCAGGAGGGAGGAGGTATACCCCCGGCACTGTTCACATTATTCGAGGATGTATACCAACCTGCAGGTTCATGTCCTGAAGATGCAGGCACATTCATGGGATGCTCAGTACTATCTCTTGGGAAGATTCTTAAGTTAAAATCTTCGCGTACTGCTCTTTCTCCCGAGTTATAAGAACTTGATGATCTGGCCACTCTATGATTAGCAGCTCTATTCCACGGAAAAGGATGCATGTGCAGTGAAGGTGACTGGGTTTGTGGCACAGCAGAATTAGCAGCTGTTACTCCAGCTGTTAACCTCAAATCCAAGGACTCGCTAAATGAGAGAGAGCCAGGTGTTTGATGTGGAGAAGGATAATTATGATGTCTAGCACTCCCTGTTGATGTTAAATTGAGAGGTACAGATTCCGGATGCTGTAAATGGGTTATTCTCCTATCAAAGTTTCTTAGAGGCCTTTCCACATTTTCTGCTGCACCTATCATTGATGGAAACATATTTGATGCTTCTTGCCTCACTTCATTTCTTGTATTCTGCTGAAATGGAGGACTAGTAACACGAAAATCATCTAAAGGTGACAGATCACCTAAGCTTCCAGGAACATTAAGATCAACAGAATCAGTAGGCCAGTAACCATTTTCAGATTGTACAAGAGAACTTGAACTTCCTCCAGTACATAGTTGCATAGAACTACCTTCAAGGGTCTTTCTCTTGCAGGAAGGACCCCAATTAGCTAAAGAAGAACTTGAACTACCGCTATCTCCCCAAGCCATGTATGCAGAGCTTGCAGACGAAGCTCCTGTATGATTGAATGAAGAGCTGCCAAGTGATGCCTTCTCTCTATCTAATCCACATGGATTGTTGTTATTAACACCACTACCAGTTTCTTTTCCTTTTCCGCGATCAGAAGAGTTGCCAATGTGCCCCATACCGAGACTAATATTCTGAGCTGTATGATTAGAGCTGGAACCTTGCAAAAAGGAAGGATGAATTCTGGATTGGTTCCCAAGTAATTGCCTTTCTTCAGGTCTTTGACCATCCTCGGCAATAGCACTACATGAAGAAGACAATCTATATTCTGATATTAGAGCATCATCATTGACTTGGTTGCTAAGATTCAGTCCAGAACTGTGTTCACCGGTATTCCAGCCATTAAAACTCACATTAGGAGCACTACCACGTAAACACGCAGTCTCACCAGAAGACCCCCTATAATCTGACAGTCGAAAATCTACTGAGTTTTGCACGTGATTCAAGGAAGACTGATGATTCATATCAGTGCCGTTAGAACTAGGACCTGGCATCTTGCTAACAATTGCTGGGAAGGACCCAATAGTCCTCCTTTGACCTTGCATCAAAAAGCTATCCCACCTAAATTAATGAAAGAAAATACATAGATAATCAAATCTCAAGCTATGTATAGAGTCGTACATATAACCTGCGGATGACACGTTGGCTGTAAAACTAAAGTGTATAACATGTTTTGCTAAACACGGTAAGAATTAACCCGTTTGATCGATGCAATAAATTGAGCATAGGTAAACGAGCAAATGTGACTGAAACAATTTGCTATGAAGCAAAAACTACTCCAGCAACACATGAATAAGATAGAACTAGCCCAAAAAGCTCAAACATGTATTATTGTTGCATCAATAATTTATGATGTAATGATAAGGAGCTCATATACATCCTCTATAGAAGATCCAGACTGGACAAATGAGATAAGAAAAAAAAAATAATTTATAGGTAGATTGTCACTAAGAAAACTCAAAGGTTTAACATTATGTTGATTAATGAATATTTTCATGATAATTTTACACCCCATATACCAACCATGACAACTGTAACAAAATTGAATGCTCCTCACTGTTGCATGATTAATTTCCACCAAGATAGTAAACAAACAATTAACCTTAAAAAAGCAAATCTCCAACTCTAAAAACATTATGCAACTATCGGATTATTGATACACTAAGGTAAACTGGATGTAGTACTAGTAGCTACAAATCTATGAGACTTATGGTTAAAGCAAAAGAAGAATGTAATTCTTTCGGGAGGTTAAAGAGAAAGCACAAGAACTTCAAGAGGGAAGGAGAAAGGTTGCATCATGAAGGACTGAGCCTCCGAAACAAACATTACACCAAGTTTTGATATCCTTAGGCCAATTGAGCTACAAGTTGGGCAGTAAACATCTATAGTTTTGACAATACATTATCCTCTGGCAAAGAGACTAGTAGAAATTTGGAAGGGTACACAACGAATGTAAAGGGACCAAACGGAGATAGAAAAAAATCATATACTTATCAAGAGAACCAACTATCCCATAAAACTCGAGAAACTATCTTGTGCTGAAAATTTAACTTAATCACAGAAACAGTTTTGGTTAAAAGGAAATGAAACAATTCGAAGACGCTAAATAGCTATTAATCAACATCTCTATTCTCTAAAAGTATTAAGATTAACAATATTCTCAATTGAAATCTTCTCCTCTCGCTTTTTTTTTCTTCTCCTCTCCCTTTATTTCATCACTAAGGCACAAATCTAACATACTACATAAGCTCAACAACAATCAGGTTAAAATCATCAACAACAACAACAACAAACATCTCCAGAATCATCAAAACAATGAAACTTCACAGTACCCAATCCAACATTCCTAGCCTTTCAGACAAAGTAAAACAAACCAAATCCAAACTAAAAGGATTAAAATTCAACTCAAAATTTAAAATAAAGCAAATCGATTATACATATTCCAAACAAAAGAGTAGGGTTAACAAAATCACAACAGAAAGAAAAAAAAAATTCAACATGAAACAAAACGGTGTTGACGCGATCATCAAACCAGAAACCGAAAAAAACGGGGGGAAAAAAGATGTAAAAACTTTTTTATCGGAAAAAAAAATCGAATTCAGACATTTTCTAACAACCCCTAAAAAATCGGGTTGTAACAAAAACAAGCATAGTAAGACGATAGATAAACATGGAAGAATGAAATTGATGATTGAATAAAGATGAAAAAATGATTACCAGAGGAGAAAGAAGATCCTGGATTGGAACGGGTGGGTGAGAGGAAGAATTTGGGGTTCTGAAGATGATGATGATGATTCTTCTTCTCTTTCAACAATTACTGTTTTTTTTCTCTTTCGTTTTTTATAATATTAAATTAATAATTTATTACCGAGAGAGAGAGAGAGAGAAAAAGCAATAAGAATGCGACAAAGAAAGAGAGAAAAAGAGAGTAGAGTAATTTTATATGTAGAAAATCCTAATTTAAGATTTTTTTGAGATTAAGAGAGAGAGAAAAAAAAGATATGCTTATGCTTCTATGGTTTTCTTTGGTTCGTGTATGAAAGGGTGTGTTACAATTATTACAAGAAGTAAAAGTCATCCTCAAAATCCGTCAATAAAACAAAGGCATCCTAAGAATATTCGGTCTATTTCTATTGCTTCTATTCTTTTCTATGCTTGCAATGATCAATCAAATTAGACCATGAGAGTATTGTTTTGTTAGTTTGATTCTAAATATCTTTGCAAATATTTATTTCACGAGTGTAATTTGATGTGTGCGTAATATTTCTTCATGTTGGAGAAAAAAAATTTCATGTTGGAGAAATAGTGATAACAATAGAATAAGTTTTGCTAGGGTTTCTTCCATGAACTCTAATGATTTCGAGTTTGTTTCGATAAACCTAGTGACTCAATCCCAAGATGAAGACTTGAAGGAGAAAAACACGAAGAAGATCAAAGGAAGAGGAACGATTGTCTCCTTTGCTTTCGGTCATGAAAATTTGTCAATGAGAGACAGTATGAACTGTTCAGGATGAAGAAAGATGAAGATATGGAAACCACGTTCTCAAGGATTCAAGTTTTGGTATGTGAACTTCAAGTTCTGAACAAAAGTTGTACAACTTCTAATCATGTCAAGAAGATTCTTATGAGCCTTCCTTTCAGATACAAACCAAGAGTGACAACTATTTAGGAAGCCAAAAACTTAAACACATTAAGTCTTGAAAGCCTTATAAGCAACCTCCAGAGCTATGAGATGGAGCTCAATGGAAATGAACCTGCCAAGAACTCAAAGTCTCTTAAATTGTTTCTAAATCTACTAAGGCTCCTCAAGTCTGGCAATCTGAAGAAGCTTCTCATATAGAAGATTAAGATGATGAGGAGATGGTCTTTATTATCAAAAGATTTCAATATTTGGCAAAGAAGAACAAAATATTCCTTAGGAAGAAGTAGTGGCTTCAGATGATAAAGTTCAAGAGACAAGAAAGATGATCAGAAGGGATGTTTCAACTGTAAGAAGCCTAGTCACTTCATTGTTGACTATCCAGAATAGCAAAAGGACAAGTCAAAGAAAGGAAACTATCATAAGTATAACTTCATAAACGAGATTAAGAAGAGTCTCATGGCAACATGGGACTAACTTGGCAGAGAAGATGAATTAGAAAAAGATGAGGAATAAGTCAATCTAGTTTTGATGACTCTTACATCTTCAGACACATAATCTATCTAAGATTCTGAAGAATAGGATGAGGTATTTTTTAAATTATCTCGTTCTGATTTGATTACTTTTATTCAAGATTTTATAGGCTGGCGTCAACAAAAAGCCAAAAATATGAAAATCTTGAAAAAAGACAACACGGTCTATTGAAAGATGAATTAAAATTTCTCAAAACAACAATGAAGCTTTAGAAAGAGATCATATTTATCTAGTAAAAAAAAGTCTGATAAACCCCTTGATGAGCGTGAAATGGATCTTCAGAAGTTTATCATAACTGGCTTTAACAGGACAAAATATGCATCTGTGATTTATGGTGTAAGTAGAAGCAAAGAATAAGGTCTTTGTTATTCTCAAAAACCTTTTAATCCAAGGTCTGAAACACTGAATAAACCAACATAACCTTCTTCTTCAAGCTCAACTAAAAAAGGGTTAGATTCCTATTTTGTACATGTTGCTGACAAAGAAAAGGTTATGAACCAATCAGGTCCTAAAATTGCTCAGTCATAGGTTTTGGAAAAACCATAACCTAAGACTCTAAAGTCAAAGGTCTCGAAGAAACCAAAATCTAAGACATTAGGATATAAGTTTTTGAAAGGTTCAAAACCAAAACCTAAGATACATTCAAGAAAACAAACCTTTAAATCAAAAGTCTTGAATGATCCTAACCTTAATATATGAGAGCTATGGTACAAAGTAAGAAGAAATCTGTCAGAATTAACCCCAAAGAACCCATAAGACTATGCGTACCTAAATATGAAATTATTTTTGCAACATATATGCTTCAAGGGAGAAGCAAAGCATTTATCATGGTACTTGGACAGTGGTTGCTCACAACATAAGAAAGGAGAAAAGCATATGTTCCAAACCCTAACTTTGAAAGAGGGAGGAACTATGAGATTTGGAGGAAACTATAAAGGAAATATCATTGGTATAAGTATGATTGGTAATTCTTCCATCTCTATTAATAATGTTTGGTTATTAGATTGACTAAAACATAACCTATTGAGCATTAGTCAATCTTGTGACAGTGGTTATGAAGTCATGTTTAATAAGAATATTTGTATAGTCATGAATGAGCCTGACAAGTCGATAGTGTTCAAAGGTAGGAGAAAAGGCAATGTTTATAAAATTAATTTCTCTGAATTGGTTGATCATAAGGTACTTTTCCTTCTATTAGTGAGTGATGAAAATTGGCTCTAACACAGAAGGTTATGTCATTCTAACTGGAGATTAATCTCTAAACTTAGTAAGTTAAAACTTGTTAAAGGATTGCAAGAGCTTAATTATCACTAAGATGCTCTTTGTGGAGCATGTCAAGTAGGAAAAATAAATAAACCTCTTTTAAAACTAAGAACATTATTTTTACCTTCAAACCTTGAGAATTGCTTCACATTAATTTGTTTGGTCTAGTTGGTATTGCATCAATCAATGGGAAGAAATATGGATTAGTTATAGTTAATGGCTATAGCAGATGGACTTATGTTAAATTCCTTAGAACCAACGATGAATCATATGATGTGTTCAGCATCTTCTGCATACAAGTACAAAATGAAAAAGAATAAAAAAATCTTAAAGTAAGAAGTGATCATGGAGGAGAATTTAAAAATGAGTTGTTTGAAACCTTTTGTGAAAAACATGGAATTATCCATGAGTTCACTTCTCCTAGAACTCTACAGCAAAATGGAGTTGTAGAGAGAAAGAACAAATCTTTACAAGAAATGGTCAGAACTATGATCCATGAAAATAATTTAGCTAAGTACTTGTGAGCGGAAGCTGTAAATACAATATGTTAAGTTCAGAATAGAATCTATATTAGACATATTTTGAACAAAAATTCATATGAGATATTCA